ATTAATAACCCGAGCCAATAATCAAAACTAAGAAACTAATGTCATTACAGTTCTATTAACTAAACTATGAACTTATTTAGATTTCACCAGTTTTTCCACTGCTGCCTTCTTTCTGTTGTAGAATTCAATCCAGTATTTCAGGTTGCATTCAGTTGTCATATCTCATTGGCTTATTGGTCTTAATAGTTCCTTAGTCTTTTCTTGACCTTGACGCATTTGAAGAGTATTAGTTATTTTGTGGAATGCCCCTTAATTTCAATTTGTCTGATGTTTTCCAATTTAGGGCAAGAATACCACAGAAGCGAGATGTCTTTCTCGATGTATCATACTGGGGGTACGTAACATCAATATATCTTATTATTAGTGATGTCAACATGAGTCATTTGGTTGAGGAGGTGTCTACTGTTTCTTCACAGTAAAGGCAGTTAAAAAACCTTTGTGATTCATAAATATCTTGAGGTGATATTTTGAGACTATGCAAATATCTTTTGCCCACTAAAGTTAAGCATCACAATACTGTTGATGTGGTGTTCTAATAAATATTTTCTATTTTCCTAACTCCTCATTTATTATTTGGAATTATTCTGTAATAAAGAGATTCCCCTTGTACTCTATTCTGTTCATTCACTCATTCAATTATATATATTAGTTTGGATTCAGGGATACTTGTGTTGTTCTATGGGTTATAATCCAATACAAGTGCTAGTTATTTTGTTACTGAAACTGTATCCAGCTTTAGCTGCAGGTTGGCTCCTTTGCCCTTGCCAATCCTCTCACCCTTTTTCTAGTATTTCCTTTCTTTTTGGCAACATGAGATGTTACTGGATCATCTTGTATTTTTCCTGTCCTAGCCCTAGAATCAAACACTTTTTTTTCCAAGAATCTCTAATTCCTTTTATTGGAGAATGGTATATAGAAACCAAGATTTGAGTGCTGGGTGTTTTCAGTTACTGGGATGTCATTGCTGCTAGGCCCTCTAAGCAGATAAAGCTAGGAAATGTATATATGAATACTAGGAGCGTACTAGGTGCACGCACACATCTACGATTATTTCTGTACATGTCTCCCTATATATACACTTCATAAATCACAAGTTCATACTGATACCTCTGACTCTTACTTAACATCACAGCATTCATTCTAATCTTCCCCTTTTCCTTATTTGTAATGTCTTTCTCTGACAGTGAAACGCTTGGCTTTCATTTCTACAATGAAATTTTACATTTATCCACTGTATTTATTTGTTCAACCCTAGCATATGCACACAATAGTTTCAGAATTCCTAATCCATATCAGGGTGAGAAATAAATTTCTAACTAGAATACCATTTTTGTGTACAGTGGTTTTTGTGGGTTGTGGCTTTTTTTGTTTTTTGGAGGGTTGTTTTTGTTTTTTGTTTTTATCTTTTTTGCTTTTAGCCTTATGATATCTAATCAAACACTGTTTCCAAAGAAACTTGGGTTAGTTCTTTTCTTCCCCCCTCTACATTATCACTGGGTTATTAATTTGTATTATATAGTTATGTTCAGTTGTTACAGTTTGTGTTATATTTTGGATCCCCCTCCTGGTGAATTTGTAAAAAAAAATTGAATATAGTAACATTCTCTTTGTGGAGTATAGTTTTATAACTTTTGACAATTGCGTGTTATGCATTTTTAAGTTATTTTTCTTTGTCCATAAAACATTTCTTTCTCGCCTTGGATATTTCAACAATTTCTATTTTTCAAAATGCTGCATGACAACTTTATGAATTAGTCATTCTTGAGGAAGATAAGTATCAGTATCTCCATGTTTGATATCAAAAGACCCCAAATTGAGGGGCGAGTTAACTGCCTGTACACAGCCACTGCTTCAAATTTGGTCAAATCATTATTTTCTATCACCTGAGCCACCTGTGCCTGCACAATCAGATTGGCTGTGCTGTCGATCTATATTAACTCCTAAGACATCAAACAGCTGAAGGAGGGGGAGACTAAGTGGGACCAGGGCTGGGAGAGAAAGAAATACTATACTTTGGCAGCTACGTTTCTTCCTGTTTTTCTCTCTCCTTTCTTTCCTTTCTTTGGCAAACAACTGCCTGCTGCCTACCTTATTCCAGAAGTTGTGCAAGGCATTAGGACTACAGTGGTGATCAGGGGTTTCAAGGGATCACATCAGTAGGGGAAAATTGAAAATACACTACAGTGTGAATGGCATCCCCTGCGGTCGGAAACATGACGGCTTAAAATACTTTATTGCAAAACAGTGCAGTAGGTGCTATAATAAGGGTAAACACCACGTGATATGTGAGCCCTTGGATAATAAGCCCGTATCATGTTGGGAATGTATGGTGGGCAAGGAAGGTCAGAGAAGCTAACAAGTGAGCTCATTTTTTGCAGGACAGGTAGGAGCTTGGTGCGGCAGGCAGTAAAGATTAAACAAGGTTAACCTTGCTCCAGCAAGGTTACCATGTACACAAAGGTCCAGAGACATGAATGATCCTGGGACTTTCTGAAGAAGTTCTGTAAAGTAATGGAGGGGACAGGGTCAGGGTTGGGGAATGATGGGAGACCACATTCAGGAGATACTTGTTTGGGACTGGTGTGAAAAGTTTCACGTTCTTTGCTTAAGAGTTTGATTTCATCCAAAAGTGATGAGGTCATTGAACAATTTCAGGTGGAGGGAGAGATATGGCCTCATCAAACTTGACATTTCTAAAGATGTCTCCATCAGGAATGTGGAAAATGGACCAGATGGGAGGTAGGGCGATTAATAAAGAGGGTTTTGCAATATTCCACACACAAAAACATGATGAAGGTCTAGACTAGGGCAATTGTAGAGTAATGAATGCATTAGTGAATTTTGGAGAGACTTTGGATATGACACTATAGGAGTTAGTGACCACTGAATAAAAAGAGTGAAGAAAAAAGGCATCAAGGATGTTTTCCAAGTTTCTTTCTCAGACAGCTAAGTAGATCGTGGTGTTACTCACTGAGGCAGTTTGATTTAAGACTTTTTAAATTTTACATCAGATGTAAAGAAAGAAGTAAGTAGACTGTGTTTTTCTGATAAATAAATGGGGCTTTGCTAATTTACTCATTTTCACTGAGGAGGGATCAGATATAAGAGAGTCTCGCTGCTCCGAGACATCATTGCTAGATTTTACTGGAGAATAAAAGAGAGGACCTAGTCCCAGAGAGACTAGAAGTTTTCACTTCCAGGTAGGTTTGGGTTTGGTGTATTCAGGCAACTTCATGGGTGTATGGCCAGTGCAGCTGCACAGAGCCTTGCACTCAGAAAGGTCTCACACTTGGTTTTAAATCTCTGCTGCTATCTTGATATTTTTCTCTTTGAATTTGTATTTTGTAAGGGAAGTTCAACTGAATGGTGGAGCATGCACTGGAGTTTTGGAGTCTCAGCTTGCATGTGGTCCTGCCTCCCACTGCCTCTTTGGGATAGGGGCTCAGCTATCCACTCCCTTACCCCTGGTACCCTGACCTTCCCCAGCCTTTCCCACCATATGCTTGCTCCTTGGCTTCAGTCACCCTCTGCCCATGATGATGGGGGCATAAGTGTGGAGAGGGTTGAACTAGGGCATGTACCCCATTGCATCTCAGGGAAGGGTGAGGCAGTGGCTCTCCCCCCACCATGGCTGGCAGTTTCACAGTGCTTTTGGTAGGCATCTGGGCAGGGGCCTCTAGCCCGTCTCCTAGAGTATCTTAGTATGAACATTACAATCCCTTGGGGTTTAGCCATCTGCTGTGGGTATAAAAAAGGGATATTGACTTTCCCACTCCTGACTGGGACTCTGCATTTTTATTTTGCACTGGACTCTGCAAAATATGTAGCCTACCCTGGGTATGTTGGCTGATGGCAGAGAAGGGTGGATGGAATTGTTCCAACTCTTCATGGATCCTCCAGGAAAACTGGCTCCTTTCTTGTCCTGTCAGAGGAGGAATAAGACATTCTACAGTGGGGTTTCAGAGAGTGCAAAGCAGAGACTTGATCAGGGATGGATCCTGTTACTATAAGCTTTTTGGGAGACACTCAAGCCCTTTCTTTATGGGGCCAGCTGGGCATGATCCTGACTCTTACTGATTGTGGCCAGACATTCAGGGGCTAGGCTGCACAGACACAATAACCTACAAATCATTTCCAAAACGTACAACTATGTCGTATGGAACACAAATGAATGTGCAAGTAAAACAGGCAAAATCTGAATAAGGTTGATAACTGTATCAAACTCGATTAAGATATTAAGACATCTTTGATTAAGATACTATGCTATAATTAGGCTAGGTATTGTGTTGTATTTAGGGAGAAACTAGGTATATGGGAACTGTCAGTATTATTTCCTATAACTCATGTGAATCTATAATTATCTCAAAATAAAAAGTAAAAAAGAAATAGAGCTGAAAGTCAGTCATATGCTGTCATTTCAAATATACCATTAGCATCTACATGCAGAATACTGTATGATAGCCATCCAACTTTGTATCTAAGACATATCAGTCATCACTTGCTTTAGGCACAGGTCTGGTTTTGGTTTTAAAACTATGATTCTACCCCAGGTTCAGTATTGGTTATGGTATCCTTTCAGCATTCCAGCCCACATGGATCCAATTAAGCTCCAACTACTATGACAGATACTTGATTTCATTAACTCTTCATTCATCCATTTGATATATTTTATATGTTGGTCACCAAGTATGTGCTAGGTATCATGCTAAGCACTGGGGGTGGAAAGATGAATTGGGAATTGCCTTTTCAGTTGGAGATATTCTGGCTGAGGGAAGTCAGATGGACCCATGGTCCCAACTACAATGTTCACGATGGATGCTGTCATAAAGGAGAGAAGAGGGTTCCATGGGCAGACAACTGGAGTTGGGGAGGGAAGGTTCAGGCAAGTGTTCCTAGAGGAGGTGATGCTAGGAGGAAGTCTTAAAGAGTAAATAGGAAGTAGATGACTGCAAAAGGAAGCATTTGAGTCAGAGGGACAGAAATGGGGCAGGTTGGGAAGCATGAGAAAGTATGATCTTTTGAGGAAGAGAAAAGAGATGCTGGAACACAAGACACAGGTAGGTAGGCCATTGGGGGGCCAGGCTGGAGAGGTGGGCTAGACCAGAGCAGGGAGCTCATGTCCCTTATATTAAAGGAACTGGGAGCCACTAAAGAACTTTAAGGTAGTGAGTGATGTGATGTGATATGATGTGATCTGATCTTCATCTGTCCTGGATAAATAAAAACAAGGTTCATGGGTTTTTTGTTTGATTTGGTGTTTTGTTCTTATTTTTTCTTTTAAAGGAATGAGGAAATCAGTGGAGTGGACTGTGTGATTAAATTTTTTTAGTCCTTCCTTATCCTAGGCGAGGTCCATAGGTAAGGCACTTGTCAAATTGGGTCCACCAAGCCTCAAATGATTCCATTTCCTCATCAATGAACCAACAGAAGGCAACGATGATGAAATTGGTTCCTGAATCTGAGTGGAACAGGTGGTAGGGAGTAGGGAGCCTCAGTATCTCTGTCTTTCAACTCCTCTTCCTACACTGTGGCCTCCACCGTAAGGGCTGCTCCCCAAAACCTAAAGAAGTGGCATGGGGTGAAGCAGGCTGGGTCATAGCTGGTTTTCCGTTGCTATGGCCAAAAGTCTTAGTGAATCCCTGGTACCTCATGAAGGAGAAAGAAAATATAGTGGGAGCAAAACAAGGCAGAACACTACCTATCTCTAAGCTTGCAACAGCAGCTTTGGCATCTGATTCCGCCCTGCTCAGTCCCCGGAACATTGATTCCTCTCCGTGGAAGCATCCCATCACTAAACACCCTTACAGGATGTGTGAGAAACTCCTTCCCTCTTAAATGGCTGACTGAACAAATTTAACGGAGGCTGTTACCCACTGAGTTTGGTATCAAAGCTCTGAGGTCCAGTTCTCTTTGAGTTTTTGCTTTCATCTGGAGTCTCTAGCCCCCTGCCCTCGGCTGCCATCAGCCCGCACAATATCAAACAGCTGGAGTCTGGGTAGCTCCAGGATCCAAGTTTCTCAGCCTAACACGTTATGTGTGGGGGAGGGGGGGGAGGGTAGGAGAACAGACAGAGTTGTAGAAGGTAGAGGTATCATGTGGGACTAAATGGGTCCTGTGCTTGCTTCAGAGAATCTGATAGCTTAGAAAAATGGAATCTCTTAGAGCTCAGTGTCAACAGATTGTATTTTTCTGAGACTTAAGGAGTGTGCAAAATCAAGCATGCAGCACGGGTCACAAAAATGGCCTTGGATTATCCTGTTTTCCATTTCTCTGTCCTAGTTTCACCTCTGACTGAAATTTTTACTAATATAACTGAAGTTTATGGAGTGCCCACTAAAGGTTACGTATGTATATATACAACATATGTTATATATGTGTGTGTGTGTGTGTGTGTGTGTGTGTATGCAATATTGGACATTGCATGACCAATCAGAACAAATGCTAGCCATAAGCAACCAGTATAGTTGTGTCAGATAACCCACTAACAATCATATACCGGGAGAGATACTTCATATGTATTTCTAATCTTCACAGATGAAAGAACTGGGATTCAGAGTGTCTAAGCTCACAAGCTTGTTTAAAGACCAGATCCAAACCTACATTTGTCTTGATTGCAGAATTTCAGTTTGTTAAATGTCATCCTCCCTCTAGGGTACCCTCATCCATAGGCAGCCTCGAGGGAATCTGAAGACTGATTCCTTAAAGTCAGGAGAACACTGGTGAGTAGGAATGCCTAAGTTTGGCAGCACTGGACTAGAGAAGTCAGTCCCAGCCAGCTCAACTTGTATGGGGAGTAGATGGCACTGTACCAGGCTCACCTGTAATTCTGCCTGAACCATGCAATTTAGAGTTTAATTACATGCTGTCTTGCATTGTTTACTAATTGTTGCAGAGGTCAATCTTATACTTGCATTCATCATTCAGTCATCAAATATTTTGGAGCAACTGTGCACACTTCTTCTTTGGCAGCCCTTGTGATATTCAGCATGGAGAGGAAGGTAAATGGCCCACTAACGAGCAAATGAGGGCTAATTTTCCTAGTAATAAACTAATGAGTTTTTGTATTTATTTTCAAAATGTTTGGGGACATTCCCTTAATAAATAAAGACTTTATACATTCAACAGCTAGAATTTGAAAGTAGGAAGTTGGATCCAATATTTCATTTCTGACACCTCTGATCAAGATAAAAAGTGTTAATCCAAACATTAGCTTTGAGAATAGGAATGTATACAAAAGCCAGTTTACGAATTACTATTAATACTATGAATTTTAGTATCTAGCCTTTAATCTTAACTCCTACCTCAGAGCTGCATGCTCTTATGGTATACACTCCTTGGACTTTTCTATCAATTACAGTTTGTGAATTACCTTAGCTCTTTGAATGAACTTTGGATGCCCTTAAAAAAATCAGTCATTCAGAAGCCCAGAAGAGATTCTTTAATAGCTTAACAAAATTCAAGCATCTTCTAAATATGCTTTTCTTACCCCACTAAGTAGCCTATACCTCATGAAACAGTTATAGGAAATGTCATACTGGAAAAACTTCAGGGTTAGGAATTAGTACCACCAATTAGTTATTGGGGATCTTAGGCAAGTTACTTAATTGTTCATATCTGTAAAATGGGCTGTTGTGGAGATTCAAGGTCATATGTACACACAGAATCAAGCACAGAGGCTGTGAGAGGTAGTAAATGTTACCTTATTTCTCAAGGGGTTGTTGGAAAGATTAAATAAGATCATAAATATAACTGAGCTCACACAGTAAGCAATTATTGTTCAACTTTTCCCACTTGAGTGCTGTCTCCAGTGTAGTGAATATTTGGCAGCTGTTTTCTTTATCTGGTTAGTGCAGTCACCCAAACTGGATAATTCAATCAGGTCTCCACTTGGGGCCTTGTGTCTGATGATCTCATTGTTGTTGAGATCTGAGAGATGAAAATGTACATTGGAGCCACTAGAGCACAATTTTGCAATACCAACCAAAAGTGTTTAAAATGTTATTTCTGTTGATCCAAAGTGCCTCCTCATAGGAATTCACCCTTAGGAAATAATCAGAATTATAAATAAAGATTTATGACAAGATGTTTAGTTAACTGTGATGCATTATAATAATAAAAATGGAAACAATCTAAATATATGACAATAGGATAGTGGTTGAATAAATAACAATGTCTCTCTTTGGTGGGATAGTACACAGCTGTTAAAGCTGAACTTTGGAGAAGATTTAATCATATAGACCATTAAAGTTTATTTATTTATCTATGTATTTAATTTATTTTAAAGTTTATTTTTTATTTATATTGAGAGAGAGAGAGAACATAAGTACAAGCAAGGGAAGGGCAGAGAGGGAGAGAGAGAGAGAGAGAGAGAGAGAGAATCACAAGCAGGCTCTGCACTGTCAGTGCAGAGTCTGATGCGGGGCTCAAACTCATGAACCAGAGATCATGACCTCAACCAAAGTCAAGAGTCAGATGCTTACCTGACTGAGCCATCCTGGAACCCCTAGAATTTAAATTTAAAAAGTAGGATAACAACTTTTATATACAATAAACACAATTTTGTAAAATACAAAAGGACCAGATAAATCAACAGCAAAACTGGCTCCTGCTTAAATTACCAAATGCATTTAAAAAAAGTATAAAATGTTGAATACAGGTATCTTTTATGTTGCCTTTTAAAGATCTTCCAATTCTGATCAATTAGAATCATATACTCAGTGTAGAAAAGTATGTATTGGTATTGATGAGGGAAAAAAAAGAAAAGAGAGAAAAATGACCAGAAAAAATACCTCACTCTGTTAACGGGGTTATCCCTAGGTAGTGGGTTTAAGATGATTTTCCCCCTTCTTTGTGCTTTTCTGTATTTTCCAAATTTTCTTCAATGAACACAGGTTTATACTCAGGAAGACAGATTTATATTAAAAGAGGGGAAATTATCACATTTGTCTACAAATTAGTCCCTATTTGTCTACATCTTAGTAATTTTTTCAGTACAATCCTCTCCAGATATGCTTCACAACCTAGGAGTTCTCTGTTTGTACGTTAACGGGTAGACAGTCTGTAGCACACTGCAGAGGAACACCCCTCTCTTGATGTCGCTCAATGGGATTCCTTCTAGTTCACTCTGAACAGTCTTAGCCATATAGTGACTTATATAGAGACAGTACTATACAGATACAGATACTGTATATAGATATAGTCCCTGCCTGCTTCTCCCCAACATAATAAATGTGATGATCACTTTCATGCTAAATGAAAGTGATGGAGGCCAGAAAGCCCGCAAGAAAGCAAGATGCCAAAGGGAAATCACCACGAACGGACTGGAGAGTAGCAGAAAGCACCTTACGCGGCCCAGACTCTGTTTTGAGATGGCTGGGAGCTAGTGTTGGTGGGGAGGGTTAGCATAGGGAAACTAACAGACAGGGGAGGAGAGAATTAGACAAGGAACTTGCTCCAGGCAAAGGGGGAGAGGTCAGAGATTCAATGTTCTTATAGGAATAATAATAATAAACATAATTATGTTAATACAAAGAACCATGAAAACAACGAACACTTCTTAGGTGCCAACAATGTGCGTGGTGCCACTACAGAATTAAACCCTCTCAGTTAAACTGTGATCTACATTCTGTCTAAACTCTGGGAAAGACAAGCAGCCATGTGAACAGCCTGGGATGGAAGGAAGTACAAGGGTCTTTATCCTGGTTCAATACTGTTGGTAGGGACTGTGATCTTCTCTGTTTTCTGCTGTGCTCTGACTTGTTGACTCAGAGCTCAGTGTGAGACCCAGAGAGGAGAATGGAGAATGCTAGGAGAAAGTCTGAGGAAGAAGACAATGTAAAGGGATAAGGGACATCTTTGAGATGTTGAGCAATGAAGAGTATGTATAGAAATATAGAAGAATCGATCTGAGAACTTCATGCATGGTGTTTGCATTGGAATCCCACAATGCCAGTGGAAATGGTACTACTTGGAGTCATCTTTGAAAAACAGATAGCTGGATACCCTGCCTGGGGCTAGGAGAGAGGGAGCATTCCAGTGCAGTGGAGGCTGCTGACCTATTCCCCTTGGGGAATTAAGAGTTGTGTATCCAGGGCGGACTCCAGGCCTTGTAGTCCTGAATTGTGCTACGGGAGGAGGACAATAAGAGTGGAAGCTAACAAGGTCATTGAGTGGGGAGAAAAACAGGTCTTGGAGAAAGCTTGGGGGAGAATGCTGGAGATTACCGGAGAAGAAAAATGAGGGAGGGAATTGGAGAAGAAGAGGAAAGAATACAGGTGCCTCCTTCAAAGAGGGAGCTCATTGTATTTTTCACCTTCTTGTTTGAAGGTGGATCATCCCGTTTTTCATTTTGCCACCAGGACAGGCCCAAGAATCCAGGCACACATTGTTGAAAGTACCAGATAAGTCAACAAAAGCCTGGCTGCCCAAATTACCAAATACATGGGGGG